CCCCCTCCCCCCTCCTCCTCCCTCTCTAGTTTTAAGAGCTGTCAGGGTTCCCTGCCCCGTGGGAAGTCCAAGGTCCTCCCCCTCCATACAGGTCTATAAAGGTGAGCATCCAAACAAACCAGGCTCCCACAAAGTCAGTCCATGCAGTAGAATAAAAACCTAGTGCCATTGTCCTTGGCTTCTCAGTCAGCCTTCATTGCCAGCCACGTTCAGAGTGTCCATTTTGATCACATGCTTCTCTACAAAACCTCAGACTGAATCTGAGCTCCTGTCTCCTCCCACCTTGTAATTCTCTCTCTATCCAGTCACATCACTCCTGTCTCCAACTCCCTAATGCTGCGATTAAAGGTATGTGGTCCTAAGTGCTGGGATCACCTTTGTGTGAGCTCTGTTTCTCTTTTAGACAGATTGAATCTCAAGTAACCCAGGGTGGCCTTGAACTCACAGAGAAACATCTGCCTCTGTCTCAGTGCTGGGATTAAAGGTGTGTGTCACCACTGCCTGGCTAACTAGTGGTTTGGCTGTGCACTTTGATCTTCAGCCAAACTTTATTTGTTAGATCACAAACAAAAGATCACCATAGCATCCGGTGTGCTGGAATTAAAGGCATGCACCAGAAAGCATTACTAATACAACAGGAAACTTCCTCTTGCTACTTCCTAGGCCACACCCCTCAAGGGTAAGTAATATTCTGAGATTTTCTTTTTTCCTTGAACCCACCCCTAGTGCAGCATGTACAGGCAGCTTATTTTTTTTCTTACTGTTATGAAGTTGTTGTCCATCCTTGATGGAGTTGGATTGTTCCTCTATTTTGTGTTTAGAAATAAGGCTTATATGACTATGCTTGTATATCTTTAAAATCAGCACTCTGCTCTTCTTAAGCTTTTATTATTGAGATTATGAAATAGTTTCTTAAAGAGAAGTATTTTAAAATTTTTTTCTCACAAAGAGAATTATTTTTCTTATTGACTTGGCACATAAAAGTTGGCTAATGTTTTGTGTTTATAGTTGTATGCTGAATTTTCCAGAAAAAAAAGGAGAAAAGCTATACTATATTCGAGATTCTACAAGATCGAATGGTGGATTAAACTCCATGACTGTAAAACAAGACTGCTGCAGACCCAGAGCCAACTTATTTTGGGCTCACTTAGTCCCTTTAAATTAAGAGCCATTCATTGCCCAATCCTGTTTCTTTTTGATTACTAAACCCTGTTAAATGTATTTTTAGCAGACCACTGGCTTCTACCAATCCAACAGCTAAGAAAGCCATCTGAAACCCATAGCCGAGTTTTCTCAGCCTGGCTACAACTTGTTTATTTATGGCATTTGGTAAATGCCTTGATTTGTGACTTTATTGGTTCCGTGTGTAACAAAATCTCCTTTAATAACTTTCATAGTGGGACATCTTATTCAGGGCAACCCGACTGACTGTATGTTACTATGGCCATTCATATTTGGCTAAGAATGAGCTACTCCTTATTCCCTTTGAGGTGAGATCTGTGTTTTGCATCTACATAGATAAGAAGGGACACTTTAAATTAAAGAAGAAAGCATAATTATGAGCAAACATCAATCGAAAAGTCTAAAAGTTTCTTCAGAAAATAGTACTGAGGTCCCCTGTTCTCAGAAGTGCTTTAATGAGGCTATCTAAAGGGCTATTTTTGAAAGTTATTTTTGGAGAGAATTCAACGGGGGCCCCGCTGGCAAGGCGACCAAGGGACTTGGTTGAAAACTACTGAGGGCTAGGATGTCTTCCTTCCTTTGTGATGTGTTTGGATCCCTTTATTAAAAGTTGCAATAGGAAGATTATCTGTTCAGTCACTGGGAGACCGTGAAAATTCCAGTCCTATCGACCGTATGTGTTTGCTGTGTGTGCGTGTGTCAGGTGGGGGAGGTGACTCCTCCCTGTCCTGGTCCCATTCCTAATTACACCATCTACACATGTTCATATGAACAGACGTTAAGGTCTAGGATCCACATATGAAAGAAACTAGGGTATTTGTTTTTATGAGTCTGGGTTACTTAATGAAACTCCTAACGTCAAGGCACATTGAGTCACAGAACCCCCATCACGATTTCATAGAGGAAAAACAAGCTGTGTAGAAAGATAAGTTTTCCTAAAGCCGATGGCCAGGAGGTGCTAGGGTTGGGGTTGGAAGTTTGGCAGTCAGGCTGTGGAATCTGAGTTTTTAATCAACATACTGGTATGTATGAGCTCTTCTGGCCCCTTTTCCTAATCACTCCCCCTCCCCCAAAAAAAAACAAAACAAAAAAACCAAACCAAAACAAAACTCATTGAACTGACCTCCTTACTGTCAATTGGTGGCAGAGTAAAAATACACAGACACGGATTGGGGCCAGTCAAATAAAAGGGAGGGAAGTGGATGATAAGCTGACCCTAGGATCAAAGTAACAACCAAGTTTATTGAGTTTCTGCCGTGAGCTGGGCACAGCTTTAATGCTCCAGAGATTGGACAGACAAATGCTATACTACACCAACTGCACAAGACCAAGAGAAGGGCCAGGGCAGAGAGACCACTCATTCAAGGTCTCTCAGCCTGCTGAGAAGCCCACTCCATCTTCCTGCTGTGTCATTGTGGGGACCCAGAGGGGAGGACCGGTAGCTTGCTGCAGGGGACTGGCTTCCAGCTGAAGAAGCATTGCTATGGCACAGAGTTCAGATGTCCCTGCAGAGATGCATGCCCACTGGTCACATGGATTTCACAAGAATTCTCTCTTAATTTTTTTTTAAAATTAATAACTAATTAAAAGGAAAGTCCCTCAGAGCAGGCCACAGCAAAACAAGCCTGTGGGCTGAATCTGGCTGCAGGCTGCGAGCCTGTGATCCAGTTACTGAGAGGGTGTGTTTTCATGGCATGAAAGAGACACATGAGCCCTGTAACATCCACACACCGCCTTCTGCACATAACTCTAAGCCAGACCGACAGCAAACCCTGGGTTGGGAGAGGTAAGGTGTATCCTGGTCTCTGGCAGGAGGCCCTTGCCAGTGGACACCAGTTCCCAGTCACATCACTGAGGTCCAGACTCTCAGATGTCAGGGTCACAGGGCAGTCATTTCATCTCTGCAGGATGTTTAGACTGCAAACTAATTCTCACCTAGACCACAAATGTTTAGTTCAAGTCTGTCGGATTCAGTGTACGCTATTACTTTTAAAATTCATTCTAGTCAATTTTAAATTGGATTAAAATTATATTGCATTTCAATATAATGTCTGCATTTCAATTTTTTTCTAGATTGCCTTTTAGTGTGCTTTTGATAAAATATGTCTCCTGATGTTAGAATAAAATAGCAAAGGCCCTTACGTCCACACAAAATCTGTGAACAAACTGTCTGCTTCCAAGACTTTGCCGTCTTAGTGTTTGCTGTCAGTGGAGCTAGCATACACAGTAGCTGTGTGTAGTAAACCAACATTTTACCATGATATAGCTATATCTATATCTACATCTACACACACATATATAATGTGTAATATTTTATATACACACATGTATATGTATGTATATATATAAATGTTCTTTTCCTTTATTTTCTGATGACACTGAGGATTGAACCCAGGGCTTTACATCTGCTATGTGAGCACTGAGTTGTTTCTCCCTCTGCCCACTTAAAAAACCCTTCCTCCTTTGGTTTATGTATCACAACACTGGAGACTGAAGCTCGGGGCTCACATACGCTAGGCCAGGCACATCATTTGGTTACATGTCCATTAGAAACTTGCACCAGAGCAATCAGTATAGGCCAGAACAAAATGATCAGAGTTAGTTATTTTGTTGGGCTTGACATAGGAACCAACAGTTCGCTGGCAAATTTGAAAGCATGACTTAGCCAAACGCTGTGGTTCGTGGTCTGTGTGTTGGCTGGGTCTCTCTGATTTTTTACCTTTTCTGCTTTCTTTCTCTCCTTTCGCTGATTTTTTTTTCCCTTCTGACTTAATGAATTTTGTGTTTTATCTAGATTGATTCTGTGAACTCTGATAAAACACCTGATGCTTTCCTAGAACAAATACTGGTACCTAGCCATAAATAACGCAATCAGGTAGCCACCATTAATTTGATGGCGGTGTTGAGATACTGGCCTCTGTCTGAGAACAAACTCATTAAGGGATCCTCGCTGACATGATAAAGTGCCCGTGAAGATCTCAGAGTGATGTCTCTAATTGCCCAGGCCTTTTTTCCATTAGGTATCTGCATGAATTATAACTCTTCGGCGAAGATAAAAAGGCTGCTGCGAGAAACTGCCCCAGCGCTATAAGGGCTGTCAGTCTGGAGGGCATCTCAAATGAGATTAATGATGTCAGCACTAATATAAGAAGATTTAGCATAACCAAGATTATGGCTTCTGCAGAAACCTGCCAGCACTCATTTATTTTGAATAAATATTATTTTTAATTAAAGTCCTAAGGTGGGTTATTCCTGAAATAATGAGATCTACAGTGATTTCCTTTGGGAATTAATTTTCTCTCTTAATTCCCAGTCATTTTGATGGTTGTGGCTCATAGAATCTTGCTCATGACAGTTAGCTTTGGAGAACACGCTGCTTTTCAGCTACCGACACCAAATAACACAATGTTCGTTAGAACACGGGCCTCTAATTTTATAGTCCTCCTTATCACTTAGTCCAAACACATTTACAAGGGACTGCCCATAAATGTCTATGGTGAATCTGCTTTGTTAAAATAAGAAAATCGCTCAGGAGGAAAAAAAAAAAACCTTAACCTAAAAAGCAAAATGACTACAAACATAAACTCAGAGAATTGTATTATTTCTACCTTTATTGGCTCTGTTTCTTTTTATTTTTTGCCTTAAGCATTATGTTAAATATTTACACATATAAATCCCCATTCACGTAAGAACTTGACACAATGGAAGATTTCAATAGCCTTTTGCTAGATCATGAACTCCGAACTCTGTGGCTCAAGTTCAGGGCACCAGGCCAGACAGCCTCTCTAATAACAGTAGCAATGGCCCAGCATTAAGCCGACTGTCTGAGTCAGTGTGCCTTTGCTGGGAAGAGACACTGGGACTACGGTGACTCTGAGAAAAGAAAGCATTAAACTGGGGCTTGCTTATAGTTTTAGAGGCTTAGTCCATTGTCACCTGTAGGGAGCATGTCCGCAGGCAGGCATGGTGCTGGAGAGGCAATGGGGAGGTCCCATCTGAACCCATAGTCAGCAGGAAGAAAGCCTTTAGGTCTGGCTTGGGCTTTTCAAACTTCAAAGCCCACTCCCAGTGACACACGCCCTCCAAGGCCACACCTCCCAATCCTTTCAAATAGTGTGACTCTGGTGAGGAAGCATTAAATCTATGAACCTATGGGAGGCATTCTTATTCAAACTATCATACTAATCCTCATATAAATATCAATACATGGCTTAACCAGATTTCTAGTGTCTCAGTACAATTGGTGTTTTATTATGGCTGCATCCCAAACCCCAAACCCAGTGCCATAAAACAATCACATTATTTGGCCTCATAAACAATAGATAATAATAAAGAACCTAGATAGACAAATTTTGCTTGTATTGGGGCCTTCGTGGGAAGTCTGTGTGACTGACGGAGTCTGTACTCGGCTGTCTGACGGCTGGTGCAGCTTTCGAACTAGGAACTCAGTTGAGACTATTACTTAGGTAATGCCGATAAGTGGATTCTACAGGAGCCTGGCTTTGTCAGAGTATGGTGGCCCTCTTCTGTGGCTTTGCAAGTGTTGAAAGTGTGAGTGTTCTAGGAGAGTAGGCACAAGCACAAGTCTTTCTGAACTATGTTGTGCCACCTCCCATGGAGTCTGTTGCTTGCAAGCAAGTCATGAGGACAAATAAACATTCAATCACAACAAATTTGCAGACACGTTTCAAAGCCATCGCAGAGAGTACTGAAGAGTCTACTGTAATTCTGTGGATTGTTGGTGTTGGGGAAGCCGAACCCAGGTTTTTCCAGTTATTTCCCGCTGACACACTTGTTTTGCACACCTGTAAGTGGGGGCCACTTCAGCAGTTGTGCCCTCGATTTCTCGAGCTGGCTACCTGGGTCAGCTGCTCAGGGAATCTTCCTCCTCAGGACACAGAGAGCAAGGTTATGCCTCCCATTTCCCTTCTAGTCGTCATTTGAGGACCAAGTGCAGGCTCAAGCACGACAATAATGAAAAGCTACTGAATTGGTTGTTTTAGTTCCAGGAGGTCACACATCTGGGCAGTTCAATAGTTAGTAATTTAGTGTGTCTGTTGGCAGAGAGATACTGCTAGTGGAGACAGAAATTATGTAGCAAAGCTTGTTTAAAAGAACGTAGAATCGGAATTGGACCGAGCACTTTCTATGTGTTGAGTAATGGATGAACGAGAAGCTCCTTTTGGTTTTCCTTTGAAAAGAGAGAAGGTTGGGTTAAGAAACCAAAGCACTTAAGTTGTCAAGCTGGACAGAAACCAGAGGTAGACTGACGACCTGTGCCTCCTTTCTCCTGGGCCTGCATCCCACAGATGTATACCTTCATGACAGAGTCAAGCTCAAACCTTCAAGCCAAACTTTCTCCATGAGATTATTTTCAGCTTTGAAGAACTACTCTAACTGGTTGAGACCGGTCTGGGATAAAGTGCTGAAGTGCATGGATGGCTGGCAATTCTCAGGGTTAAATGTCACTCCCTTTACATCTGAAATGTTTGCGTAGAAGGCCACAGCTGTTGTACTTAATATAACGTTACTGGGAGGAGCTTTTCTAGCGTTTGGAATGCTGGGAGAAGGGTGATACCATCCAGTGGTAACCTTAACAGGTTCAGTCTTTTCCCATATTAACAAAAATTTGAGTGGGTAGATGTGTTGTATAGTTTTTTTTTGATAAAATTTTGCTTATGATTTGTTGATGTAAAACACAGATTTTGTTGGAAATAAAATAGACTATGGTGAGCCAAAAACCAATTTCTAATTCCAAGGACAGATATTCAGGTTACCTGACTAATGCTCCTTATCATGGAAGGGGACATGTGAAAATTTTTATTATTTTAATTGAAATTTTACATACCAATCCCACTCTCTCTCCTCCTCCTGCTTCTCCCACCTTTCTCCTATCCCGCCCCCTCCATCCACTCTTCAGGCAGGATCAGGTTCTCCCCTCTATATCTAGGCTGAGCAAGATATCCTTCCAAAGAGACTTGGCTCCAAAAAACATTTCAAGAAGTAGGGATAAATCCTGGCCCCACCAGTGGCCCTTCAGACTGTCTCAGCCATACAACTGTCACCCACATTCAGAGGGTCTAATTTGGTCCTATATTGATTCCCCTGCTGTCAGACTGGAGTTGGTGAGCTCCCATTAGCTCAGGTCAGCTGTTTCTGTGGGTATCCTCATCATGGTCTTGACCCCTTTGCTCATATTCTCACTCCTCCCTCTCTTAGACTGGACTTTGGGAGCTCAGCCCAGTGCTTCGCTGTGGATCTCTGCATCTGCTTCCATGAGTTGCTGGATGAAGGCTCTATGATGACAATTAATGTAGTCATCAATCTTATTGCAGGGGAAGGACAGTTCAGGCACCCTCTCCATTGCTTAGGGTCTTAGCTGGGGTCATCCTTGTGGATTCTTGGGAATTTCCCTAGTGCTAGATTTCTTGCTAGCCCCATAATGGCTCCATCGATCAATACATCTCTTTCCTTGCTCCCCCCCTTCTGTCCTTCTTCCATTTTGATCATCCTGTTCCCTCGTGTTCCCTCCACTTCCCTTCCCCTCCTCCTCCCCTCCATCCACCCTCCCTTTTTCCCCCACCCCCATGTTCCCAATTGTCTCAGGAGTTCTTGTCTGTTTCCCCTCTCAGGGGCATCCACGTATGTCTCTGTTAGGGTGCTCTTTGTTAACCTAGCTTCCTGGAAACAACCTAGATGCCATGTGAATTTTACAGTCATAGAACCAAAGAAAGAAATGAGTGCATATTTTAGTTAGTGTTCCATTGCTGTGAAGAGTCCATTACCAAGGCAACTCTTATAAAAGGTAGCATTTAATTTCAGACTCATTGTTCCAGAGGGTAGTTGAGTCCATGACTGTCCAGGCAGAAAGTAGACAAGCATGGTACTGGAGTAGCAGCTTTTGATCTGCAGGCAATAGTCAGCAAGCAGAGAAAAAAGAAACACAAGGCCAGGTGTGGGCTTGTAACATGAGGGTCCGGCTTGTTGGGGTTTCTGTCCCGCCCGGTACCCCACAACTGGCAAGTCCCAGAGAAAATCAATCAATCACACAGAGATCTCTATAAGTTATAAAGCTGATTGGCCCATTAGGTCAGGCTACTTATTAGTCCTTGTAACTTATATTAATCCATTATCATTAACTATGTTAGCCACACGGCTCAGTACCTTTCTCAGTGTGACAGCTTACATGTTGCCTCTTCGGTGGTCTGCACAGGAATGGCGGAGGGAACTTCTCCTCCCTAGCCTTCTCCTATTCTCATTGTCCCGCCTCTACTTCCTGTCTGGTTGACCCACCTATACTTCCTGCCTGGCCAATCAGTGTTTTATTAAAATACATGATTGACAGAATACAGACAATTATCCCGTACCATTTCTCTCTCTCTCTCTCTTTTTTTTTAAACAGGAAAATATCCATAGTCCATTTGCTGGGAATGTGGGCGTAGTATTTCAGGCTCCTACAAAGTGGCACCCAACGTGGTTGAAAAGGAAAAAAGAAAAGATACCACCCTGAATGTTGGAATGAAAGGCATTAGAATAAGGTGGAGGAGGCCTTTTGTCCTGTGAAGCTCCTGGATAACCCCCTCCTTGGTATTTAGGTGAAAGATCAAGAATTTGCCACTGAGCGTGCACTCTTAGCCTTATTTGAATTGACCAATGGAATGAATCCCCATAACCACGCTTTTCGCTTCTGTTCCCGTGCTTTTGCTCTCCTATAAAAACCCCTCACCCCAGCCTGACGGGCGCGCAAGTCTTCCGAGAGACCTTGTCGCCCCAGGTACCTGTGTATTCGAATAAACCTCTTGCTGTTTGCATCAGTAAGTGTAGTTTCGTCTGATTCGTGGGTTGGGGCCTCTTTCGTAAGGAAGACATCCCTCGGGGGTCTTTCAGTGGTAACTAAATCCACTTAAAAACCTGAGAGAGCTTAAAAATAAGGAAAGGAGAGTTTAACACAGATTTTGCTGTTTTCTAGGGCGTGCTGTAGAGAGATTTCCTGTTTCAGCATTAGCGGCAAAAAAAAAAAAGCTGCGCCATTTTAAAACGCGGCTTCCTGGGCCCTGCCACCGGTGCAAACTCCGGCTATGGAGCATTTCTGGGCCCAGACATTTGTGTGCCCACTCGGGGTCGGGAACAAAGTAGCTGAGACCATGTTCTTGGCTCGGTTCTTCCTGCCTGAGTAAGCGGTGGGATCAGGTCTACTAGAACGTGGCAGTTTTGAAATACCAGTTTCTGGGCT